TCCGCTGCACCCGCGGCCGGGCGCGGCTCCAAAGGTCACCGCCCAGGGACTGGCCCCAGGGCTCACGGGACCGTGTTGGGCGCCCTGCCAGCTCCCCGGAGGACAGGCCCTGCAAACAGCCTGGGGCAGCCACGCCACTGAACTTGGACCCAGTGGCTGACCCGCCGCTGCGCAGGCCCTGGCTTGTGGGTCATCCGGCGGGGGACACGTGTATGCGGTCCCGGGACCTGTGTCGACGCATCGGCAGCCCCCATCCGCACCCCCTAGGGCTCAGGAGGGCTCCGTCCCAGCCTAGCTGTAACAGACAGAAAACCTGTTGGGGGCCAGCTTGCAGATTAAATGAAAACTGGGGGCAAAAGTCAATTAGGAAAGACTAGCCGCCCCCCCCGCCCCCCACGCACACACAGAGACACACAGGACCTCCCAGCCAAGTCAAGCTCAGCTCAGGCTTTACTCTGACCTACAACCCCAGGCAGCCACCGTGAAAGAGGCCTGGCAGCAGTGGGTTCTGGAACTTGAGTACTTCAGCATGGCTGGGCTGAGGATCCCAGCAGGAGATGTGTCCCTGCATTTGGGCTCCAGATGGGATTCCACTTGAACAAGGAAGTGCTGGAGTGCTCCCGCCTAAGGGCGCACCTGCTGGGCAAATTCAAGTCCCCAACGCTGCTTTAGGGCTGGGCCACATGGATGAGTTCCAGCTTGGCCACTGCTGTCCCATCTCCCCCCATGTTTCCAGGGTGAAGAGTGAGGAGCATTGGGAAAACAACTTCTAGTCCCCAAAACCTACCAAGTGCCTAAATGTGTCCAGCTCTGCCCTACCTGTGTTGGAGGTGTAAGATGCTCAAGTGAGCCCCAGGTGTACTCGGTCCCCAACAGATGATGGTCCACTTACAATTTTTTTCGATTTATGATGGGCATATTAGGCTGTAACCCCATGATAAATCCAGGAGCATCTGAATTTGCCTAAATTGGCTAGTTGGAGGAGACTGTGTCTTCTAAAACCCAAGGCAACCTTTGACCCTTGAGGTCATCAGCTGAAGGTCTGGGCTCAGAAAGTGAACAGCTGGCCATAGATGGCGTTCCAGTCCAGAAGTGCCCCTGGACTTCAGTTTTGTCAGGTGCCTTGGGGTAACACCCACATAGACAGCAACTTTCCTTGGAGGTTGACAAAGGTGCCAGGTGGACACTGGAGATGAAGAAAGCACGGTGTGGAAGAGGCTGGGGGAGGGGTTCTCAGGAAAACCACAGGAGAGTACAGGAGCAACGCAATCCACACCAAGCCTAGGCTGGGCTCAACAAGGAAGCATGGAAATGGCCCTAACACACACCACAAGGGACTCACGAGATTGTACTTGGCTTAAAAAAGAGTAGGGGAGGGGGATTGATGGTTCAGAAATTACTTCTTTGGTACAATGCTCACTGTCTGGGGATGGGCCACCTGAGACCCAAACCCCTCCACTACACAATATGTCTGTGTAAAAAACATACATTTGTAACCCCTGAATCTAAAATTAAAACAAACCAACAAACCAAAAAAAAAAAACCACAAAAAACCCAGAGCAGAGTCAACAGTTAGGATGCGGGGGAAGTGGCTCTGATGGAGAAACGCCACATCTTAATGGAAATTTCCAAGTAAGTGAAAAGTGGCCTCTTTGTCCCCAGTCATCCAGGCTCAAGCACTGACTCAGTCCAGCACACTCAGCTGCACCCACGGCGGCCTGAGTCTCATTTGTTGTAAAGCCAGATGTGTCAGCATCGTTGGCTCCTGAAAATGAAGAAGCTGAGGCGACAGAAACCTGAGGGGAAGCTATCCCTCTTGGAATGTCATTCCAGGAAGGAAGGGGCTGGGCTGGGGGTAGAGCTGCAGCCCGCCCCTCACCCACCAAGGCCATCCCCATCTCATGATGGCAGGGAGATCCCAAACCACAGAAGAATACTTGCTCTCTGCAGAACAAAGGCTACTACAATTGGGGAGGACAGGGGTGGGAGGCTAAGGAGGGGGCTGACGAGATTTTTTTTTTTTGAGTTGGAGTCTCACTCTTTGTTGCCCAGGCTGGAGTGCAGTGGCACGATCACAGCTACTGCAACCTTGACCTGCTGGGCTCAGGCGATCCTTCTGCCTCAGCCTTCCAAGCAGCTGGAACTACATACACACGCCACCATGCCCAGCTAGTTTTTGTCACTTACTGGAGAGACGAGTCTCTCCAAATTGCCCAGACTGGTCTTGATCCCCTGGACTCAAGCACTCCTCTCACCTTGGCCTCCCAAAGTGCTGGGATTACAGACTGAGCCACCGTGCCCAGCTGGGATATTTTTAAAAAACACATTTGGGAGAGGATTGCCTGAGCCCAGCAGGTGGAGGCTGCGGTGGCTGTGAGTGTGCTACTGCACTCCAGTCTAGGTGACAGAGTGAAACACACACACACACACACACACACACACTGTCAAAAGCAGTGGACTGAAATCCATGAATCCCTTGAGTGGGAAATGCATGCGAGCAGTTAGAAGTGGAAAGATCATGGAAAACAGGAAACACACCCGACTGCAGCCTCTTTTTAAAATGAAGGCTTTTGCAAACTATAGGTCAGGGGACTTAGAGTTCTCAAGCAGATCATAAAGATATGACTGTAAGGCCAGGCATGGTAGCTTACACCTGTCATCCAGGACTTCGAGACGCCAAAAATTACTTGAGCCCAGGAGTTTAAGGCTAGCCTGAGTACAGTGAGACAGACTCTTGTCTCTATTTTTTTCTTTTTCGAAAGCAGGAGAGGACATAAAAGCTCCCACAGTGGAAGGGGACCTGAAAGGGTTGCCTTTTTTTTTTTTTTGAGTTGGAGTCTCACTCTGTCGCCCAGACTGAAGTGCAGTCGCCGCTCCCGGCCTCAACGTGCTGGGCTCCGGTGATCCTTCCGCCTCAGCCTTCCAAGTAGCCGGAATTATAGGCATGCGCTACCACGTCTGGCTGATTTTTTTAAATTATTATTTATTGTAGAGATGAGGTCTCACTGCCCAGGC